CTCTCCCTGACCAAACCCCCCCCCCCCCTCCCCCCTTACCTATTTTTTTTTTAAAAAAATTCAAATATTTATTGATCACGAAAATATAGAGGGGAGAATATAAACCATGCCCCTTTACATAACTGAATAATTCAACTAAAAAAAGAGTCCAACCAATGAAGAAGTTTAGCTGAAGGAGGAACAACAATTCCCAAAAAATCTCAGCTACATAGTCATGTGAACAGTGACGTGAACAATGGGAGTTTCAGGCTGCTGAAATTGAACTCCATAAAATCCAGCTGCAGCTGCCAAAGAAAATTCTAGCTGCACAATAAGGTGAATAATGGCATCTGGGCAGCAGTGGTCCATGGTCGAAGTCCAGCTGGGCAGTTCTTGAATAGTTTTAAATAGTTTGCTGCCATGTAATGCACAAAATTCCTGATGTAGAAGAAATCTAATAATGTCTAAATCCATAGGTTTCCTTTGGCTTTGTCAACTTGAAAGTTATTGATCTTGATCTTTTCATAATTACAGATTGGACTTTATCAAGTCCATAGCCAAAGTATAGACAACTCCTCCTCTTTTCTTTTCTATTTAGCTCAACCTTGTTGAATATTGACAGTAGCCTTTTAGACGATGTCATAAAAGAATTGAAATCATCTTCTCGAACTACTGCTGCCTTATCTCCATCAGAGTAAAAACCCCTTGATTGCTCATGAAGAGAAGACCTCTTAATATAGTCATCCTTTGAATAAACCCCTCTTAGTTTCCAGACCTTTTGAATTTCCTCGCTTGACATGCTTGGAATTATCTCCCCTTAACTATGAATATTCTTATGGACTGCTGCCATCATTTCTTGAGTAATGGACTTGGGCACAGGACTATACCTCAACCCACTAGACTTCTCCCCAACATTCGATGATAACTCATCTATCCCATCATTCGAGACATCTTCAGAAGAAGTAGAAAATCTATTCTCATCCTTCTTATTATTTAAATTAACAATGAGTTTTATTGTCTCGGAAAAACCGTATTGCATGTCTTGTGCCTTAGTAATATGGTTTGAATTTGAAAATTTTGGAGTTTCACTGTGACACAGTTTTGCATCGTGTGTGTCATTGGTATTCACCTTCGCTTGAGTGTCATAACATGATTTATCTACATCAATGATCACATTAGAATTTGAATTAGGGGACTGAGTTCCTGCATTATTTCCAACTTTAGGACTCTGCAATTCTTGAATATCATCAACCAAACATTCTTACTTGGCAGTATCTCCTTTCCCCAAAAAATCCCCTCTTTCCAAAACTCTGGTGAAGCTTTCCTTTTGTGGAATTTTGGAAAGTGTAGATTTTCCGTATGACACTGCAACATTAGCCATAAGACCTTCCTCTGCATCTCCCAAATTAACGGGATTCTTTCCTCCATTTAACTGTTTTCGTACACCCTTCCCTTGATTTACTTGATTAGCAATTATGCTGCTTAGATGGCTTTGGATTCCTTTTGTATTCCTTCTGATTAGTGTTGGACTGTTGCCCCTTAGCTGTCTCCTACATATCTTGTGTATTCTTCCCAGGATTCTATTTTGTCCTTTCCTTATTCCTTTCACTAGAGATCTCTTCAATTTTGGACATCAAAGATCATGCATTCTTTCCTTCTAGTTCACCTTCCAAATTTTGGATTATTCTTCCTTCGATAGTCTGCCTCCCCATGGCCTTTTTTTCTGCATGTTTTGCAGAATTTCTTGTTCCTTTCATACAATATTCTCTGCAATCTAGCACCCTCTTCCCTCATATCAATCCATATTCTTGAATAATTTTGTGCTAGTAAATTAATTTTGACGCAGACCCTTGCTACGCCAGACCTGGACAATGGCTTGGTCATACGCAAGTACCCTGCCTATAGGTTTCACCAAAGCTCCAAGAAAGACTTCTTGAAAAGATTCAAAGGAAGACCCGACAAAGACACCCACATTGGAACAATGAAGGGCTCAATTCCTGGGACAAAAGCAGTTGAGAATCTAAATAGATAATCTTCGATCAAGTTGGCTTCCTTTAACCAGATTTTAACATAATCCTCATGCAGCTGGAACCTTATCAGTATGTGTCGTGGATCTATAGAACCAACTTCAAACTCTCCTTTAAGGCTCCATTTTGATTTGATCACTTCCTTGATAACTCCTAAAGAAGGTCTTCCATAAGCGCATTTACCAATAAGAGCATATTGCAAGGAAAGACATGAAGCCTAGATTTCTTCGTTGGTGAAATAAAACGCAGGCTCTCCTTCGTAAAAAAAAATAGGCTTCTCTATCTTGGAAGTAGATTCTGGTCCAATTGTAGGATTCAATAAATGTTTAATCAATGATGCATATGTTGGTAAGGTATTAATTGGGCTGTTTGGAGTCAAATCTTGTGGTTTTGGTGGAATTTGGGAATGGTTTGGTGATGAACTCATATGAAAAAGAATTCTAGCGAGAAGGCAGAGCTTCTCTCTCTAAAATAACAATAGAGAATCCCTCCCCAATGCAAAGGAAGTTTCCCCCACTTACCTATGAGTCCTATTACGGCATCAAAATATACTTTTCGGTACTATACTTTTATCTCTATTTTTCATCCAACAAAAGCCCGCTAGGTACCTCTTTTCTTTCATATATTTTATTATCTTTTAGTACTTCACAATTTTTTTAATTCAATAATTGCAGATCACTCAAATTAAAATCAATGGCCTGGATCAAATTTCGGTATAGTACCTCTGTGATACCGTAGTCTTATCTTTCAGCTATATATTGCCCTCCACATCCTGCCTTGCTTTTCATAAAAACCCTAAGCTTTTCCTAGGCATTATAGTGAAACCAAAAAATGGGCATGTCTAATACCTCACTAGCCCTTGTTTGCCTCCTAGTCTTGGCCATTGTTCATTCCTCTCAATCTCAAAACTCCCAACAAGACTATACCTCAATGCTTAAAGTGCAGCCCGTGCCGAGTTTGGCATCGGGGATATGCCATGGGATGATGACGTGACAGCCTATGCACAAAATTATGCCAATCAGAGGATGAGAAACTGTAACCTCATACACTCACAGGACGATCTGTATAGCGAGAACATCGCCATTCGGAATGGTGACTGCACCGGAAAGGCGGCCGTGGACCTTTGGGTGCAAGAGAAGGCAGATTATGACTATAATTCCAACAATTGCACTGAATGGAAGATGTGTGGACACTATACTCAGGTGGTTTGGCGTGAGTCGGTTCGCCTCGGGTGTGCTAGGGTTCAATGCAACAATAGCTGGTGGTTTGTGACTTGCAACTATGATCCCCCGGGTAATTACATTGGGCGGCGTCCATATTAAGATTGTATGTGGTATACCTGCTAATAGAATTATTAGCATGTAATAAGCTACACTTGTAGTGGCAAAAACTAAAGAAATAATACGTTTTCTCATCTTCTCCTTCTGTTGAGGCCTAATAAGTGCAATGGCTATACCCTATTACCATAGTACATATGATCTCCTTTGTTTGTGAATGTCTACTCTTTTAATTTCTTTGTTTCTCAGTGATGGTGTGAATTGAGCTGAACTTGAGCATGTTCAAATCCAATCCGGTGGTGATTGGCCATGTTTGATTGTTAAACTTAATTTTTTACTCTAGCTCGGCTCAACAAAAACTTATAATCAGTATTCAGGTCTAAACCAAAATCGATCAATTTCTCCATAGAAATTTTTAAAAACTTGACTTACTAATCAAGCCTAAAAAATCAATTTCTATATAACAATCCTCCAGAATCTGTCGAACAAATGTTAAAAGTTTAAACTTTCAAAATTTTATTAGAGAAGAAAAGGAAGAAAAATTTATTAGGTATTTAATGTTGTTGCCATTACCAATCTTTAAAACCATGCCCCCAAACCATGTTTCATGTCATAACATCTTGACTACTTCCTTCCCCGACTTGGTCAAAGGAAGGTCATCCACGCCGAGATTAGGATATTCATAAGGAATTTATATTCTTCATGACCTGGGCCCATAGTGTTGCACCAACTAGGCATAGCATATTTGAACCATTCTAGTGCAAGTCTGAGCATAAGAATCATCTCAATGATATAGTTGTGAAAAAAAATAAAATTAAGTTTTAGTATCCAAAGACTGAAAGTGGTAGATATAAGAAATGTCTCATCTCATGCGTGAGCACAAGGCTTGCATTAGTAAGGCAAACATTGACTATTTTGGTTGAGTTGTTTTTCTTTCATAATTCAAATAGCTCGAGCATGCATGGTTTGGCTTGATTTTTGGTTCATTCACGCTTATTCAAATAACATAGCGGACCAAAATCGATGAGATTTCTGAGTTCATTTTGTAAATAGGTCAAATTGAAGCAATGTGCGTCTCGAATGGAAAAGGTTACTATCTCTAGATAATCCGAATTTGTTTTCAAACAAACCTTATTCAAAAATAACTAATTCCTAGTGGTGCGGTGGGCGCTGGATGTATTCATGTGAGTGACGAGAAATGAAAATTGGAGTTGTAATTCTTTTTTCTTTCACACCCCTTTCAAAATTTAAATGCACACTCAAAACCTAAATTATGTATGGTTTTGATACATAATTTAGGTTGTTATTAGTTGCAACTGAATTTTATTTATTAAACACATAATTTTAAGGTGTTACAATTTCTCAAAAGATAAAAATGGGTCATTTGTCAACGTTTTCAGTCGTTAGTTTTCAAACAAATAAAATATAAATGAAAACAATTTTCTTTTTTTATTTGATAAAAAATTAAAACATACTAATTTGGTTGTTGTTTCGGTTGTGAGAAATTATGAAAATGAAAATGAAAAACTTGTTTGAAAACCACTTCTAATTAAGATATAAATAATTTTTTCATATTATTTTTATCTGTTAAAAACAAGTAAGAAAAGGAAAATCAAGAATATCAATCTCATAATTCATTATAATCTAGGGTTAATCTCATTTTGCACCCCGAAAGATTGTTCGAATCTCAATTTGCACCCTCAAAGATAGAAATTTGTATCAATGTGCACCTAAAACTAAATTGATAAATTATACCTAGATCCCCTCATACTTGTCACTTAATCATTTAGACCTCTTCACATTTAGAATACTACTCCTACATCTTATGACATTTGTGCACGTATAACACGTAACCCATTTTCATTGATATCTATTAATATAACCGTTAAAAAATATAATTTTATCCTAATAAAAAATTATAATTTCATATTACCATTTATTTTATGGGTTCAATATATTCTAAAGTTCAAAATCTAGTTTACCATTTGAATGTCTAATAAAATATAAATATTTATATAATGTTTTTCATATTACCTTTTATATAAATATCTACATTTTATTAGACATTCAAATGGTAAGTTTGATTTGCAACTTTAGAGTATATCGAATCCACAAAATAAAAGGTAATATGAAATTATAATTTTTTATTAGGATAAAATCATATTTTTTAACGATTATATTAACAGATATCAACGAAAAGTGGTTATGTGTTACACATGCACAAACGTCGTGAGATGTAAGGGAAATATTCTAAATGTGAAGGAGTTCAAATGATTAAGTGACAAACATGAGTGGATCTAAGTATAATTTATTAATTTAATTTTAGGTGCACATTTATACAAATTTCTATCTTTGAGGGTGCAAATTGAGATTTTTTATCTTTGGGGATGCACATTGATACAAATTTCTATCTTTGAGGGTGCAAATTGAGATTTGAACAATCTTTTAAGGTGTAAAATGAGATTAACCCTATAATCTATATAATAAATTAGATAAGTGTTTGAATTTATGGGGAGGTATATTTTTCCCTCCAAATTTCACACACCGACACACTTCTCCCCTCCCCCCAAATTTAAAAATTCCAACACACACACACACTCTACAACACAAAACTGCGCATACATATACACACTCCAACACTCACATTCTAATGTATGCACAGTATAATAATTCAGTATACAATGACTTTAATCATGAGATACCGTTAGTACGATTATATTTCTCAACTTATACAAGCACAAAAGCATCCCACATGTTATAAAAATCCAATAATCCATTCTCCATGGATTATATCACACATTTCTATGCCAACTGAGTTGATGTTGGGGCTGTCTGTAATGTAGCATTGTGTGGCTGCTTCAATTGGCTAGGTTTAACTCGTTTAATAAAGGGTTGTTTGGAAGTCGGTATACATAATTAGACTTATTTAATAAAAAGTACGTAGAATAAAATATATTGAAAAAAAATACACAGCTGAGATATAAAGACGTAAATGCCCAATTTAGGGTTATTTAATTCAAAATCTCTTATCTTTAATGCACATTGATTCATGTATATTTGTTACTCCATCCGTTCCTAAATATCTGTTGTTTTACATAATTTTTTTGTTTCATAATATCTGTCGTTTTATGAAACCAAAGCATAATTAATATTTTTTCTTTCAAATTTACCCTTAACTTTTCAATGCATTAAATTAGGTGGAGGCTTAGTGTCTTTCATATTTTTTTCCTTCTCAATACATATTGAATAAGGGTATTTTAGTCTTGTGTAATTATTTTTTACTCATATTACAGTTATTTAATTACTTCCTTAATCCCTATGCAAAAACCTTAAACAACAGATATTTAGAAACGAAAAGAGTAATACATATAAATACGTATATATATACACTTGTTGTTAAATCTTTTATCTAAATTTTGAATTATCTTTAATTCACCTTGATTTATGCGTGTTTTTTTTTTTGAAAAGTGGTTTTATTTTTCAATTATATTTATGCATTAAATATTTACTACTAGTATTTTTATAGGAGAATTTTAATATTTCGTTTATTTTAAAATATATCACTTGTTTGAATTTCAAAATTTGTAAATATCCGAACTTGNTAACAGATATCAACGAAAAGTGGTTATGTGTTACACATGCACAAACGTCGTGAGATGTAAGGGAAATATTCTAAATGTGAAGGAGTTCAAATGATTAAGTGACAAACATGAGTGGATCTAAGTATAATTTATTAATTTAANTGTAACAAAAACAGTGTTCAGTAATTTTGTACATGTGGTAACAAATTCAAAACGCAGAAGGACTATTTTGAATGAAATTATAAGAAATTAGATATTTGACAAAATGTAATAGTACAATATTTTGTATAAATAGTTTGTTACACTGTTATTATTATACTATTACACTATTCAAATATTAAATTACTTTGAAAATAAAATCACTTTCCAAAAAAAAAATCGCATGAATCAAGTTGCATTAAATATAATTTGAAAACAAAATTATTTTTCAAAAAAAAAAAAATACCCATAAATTAAGGAAAGACATAAAATATGGAATATTAAAATTCTCACATAAAAATAGGAGATGTTTAATGCACCACTTTCCAAAGAAAATACACACGGATTAATGGATGACAAAAATATTAGTAAAGTGCAACTCGACATTATTTTCTATCATAGAATTCATCTAATTGTGAATCCGCTCTAATTTTTTTAGCAACTTCTTTTTCTATATATAATCAAAAAATCTAGGAGAAAATCATCTTCCATGCAGTTGCAAAGTTCAGATTTGACATATTTATAGTGAAAAAAGCATGATCCATAGTGACAATAAAAATTGAAATTGTAAGCACAAGTTTGACCAATCCATCAGGCAGTGAAAAAATAATTGATTTTCTAATCTTAATTAACCATTTAGCCAAGTCGGAAGTATTCAAGAACTTCGAAAGATCTGCATGCATAAGTATATCATGCTCAAAAAGCTGAAATTGCATACTCACAACAACACTCTCTTCTCCTTCGTGAAGTCCCGAGGGGTAGAAACATGTCCTAAATTGTATTTTACATAAAAATAAGCAAGTCATAAATTGTATGTTCCTAATTAGAGACAAACTTAGTGAATTTTCACATTAAAAAAATAATATTATCATAGATTTATTTTTCCCAACATGAGACAAACAATTAGTCAAAAAAATCACCAGTATAGCCCTACTTTGTTGCGATTTTATTCATGAATTCGCATCGCATGTAATTTATTTCTTCAACGCAAATATGTATAGCCCTTCTTTGTTGCAATGGTTTAAAGTCTTTAGATTTTGTTTTGTAAACAAATTACGACTCTTTATGTAACTTTATTTGGAATTGGGGTCATATTAGGAAAGTGCATATTTTTTTATCAAGACTTGCTAACCGAGAGTTGTAATGGTGAAAGATTGTTTGATTATTTTATAAGATTTTTGGTAAACTTTGAAATGTAGTATTAGTTTATTACTTCCTAATTTAACATAAAAATCTTATAATGGCAAAAAAAATATTATTTTATCA